GACAAAAGGTGTTTTACTGAGAAAAAACAAGATTTGTTTTTTAAAAAGCCTTTTTCCAAAAGGTACATCTGGAAAAGGGGGGGGGTCGTCTTATAATCAGGGTCGTCTTATATTCGGGACAATACGGTATTCCTAATACACAAACATCCCACAGATAACATAACACCCAAACACACAACCAAATATACTTAATGAAACATTAAAACATCTATCAGAGCAAATAAAACCATGATATATTCAATCAAGAGAGTTTTTCATAACGATTCAAATCCCCCAAAAGGTTTGATGGCATGAGTTTAGATACGAAGTCCAGCACTGGCTGGGACCATTGAGATTTATCACCACTAAAATGGGATTTTTCTCAGAAAAATATCTTCAACAATACATTACAAAATCCAAGAGTGGCCTAATGGTTAGAGTCGGACTCGTAACCCAAAGGTTGTGGGTTCGAGTCTCGTTCCGGCAGGGATTGTAGGCCCCGGGCGCCGCAGCATAAATGGCTGCCCACTGCTCCGGGTGTGTGTGTGTGCACTTTGGATGGGATAAATGCAGAGCACTAATTCCGAGTATGGGTCACCATACTTGGCCACATGTCACGTCACTTTCACACTTTTTTTGCTCAAAATGAAAGGGTTTTACATAATGCATCGAATAATTCATGACAGGCTCCTATAGAGGCATCTTATATTTGATGTTGTCCAACTGAAACCAACCTAATCTGAATTTTTCCATCCAGATACTTACTCCATTAGGCTTTTGAAATATGAAATGTATAAGTCTCCACTGACATTCAGACAGTCAGTTTCAACCTCAAGATTATTCACAGTTAAAATTTCATCAAATACATAAAAGAAGCTTTGAGATCTCCCCAGGACACAATGGTGTAAGCGAGAAATTTTACAAGACCACTACTGCCCACTCATTTGCAGCCAATGAATAATATGCCATCATTGCTTTAGTTAAGAAACAGCCCAATAGATCGGAAAGAGCAAAATGTTTCATTCTAATAAATACAGGCCTAATAAAAAGGCAGCATATACTGATACTCTCATTTACAGAACCCTTCTCTATTCATCACAAAACAAGCTGCCTTGCCATCAATAGGTGCTACTTCAGCTAGCAATATTGTGGACGCCCATAAGCCATTGATTGTACTGGCAGGAGTCTTATTCCTTTGTACCCTCTGACTACCCAGCAGGCCAACTGTGTTGTTGACGGCTCTCGGGCACAGCCTTAGACGCCTATAGTGGTGACAGCCGTGGCCTAGACAGGGGTCCTTCTCTCCCCTCCAGCTACATTCTGTTGAGCTACAGCGTGATGAGGAGAGACGGAGCCTTATACGTCTGTTACGGTGATGGAGGTTCGACAGACAGGGGTCCTGATCTGCGTCTGCGATGTGACTGACAGGAGCATGGGGAATAAAAATCTGTAACACAGGGCCCCTCACCTGCTCACCATTACAAATACTGTATATATTATTTTTCATGAAATATTGCAGTATTTATTATTTATTATCTGTGCAACCTTTTTTATGTGCCTCTGTAATCTTTAATCAAAATAATTTCCCCTCCCTCTTGCAACAAAATCTCGTCATCTCTGAGATCAACAATCCAACAATTTAATCAATCCCCTATGGATAAAATCCAGTCCTGCCCTTTTTTTACATAGTATTTCACTCTGATATACATCACATTGGTGAAGAAAAGACTATCACAACTTCTGTTCCAACTTTAAGGGTGTTTTCACATATAATTTCTTTAATGACTGCTTTATTTATCTTTTTTTATTTTACCTGTAGCATTTAAAATGTTTGGTTTTAGCTTAAATTAGTTTGAAAATGACTGAATTTAATTATCCCAAATTGTAAAGAGTTTTATTATCAGCCATTTATTGGATCAGGCCATTAAAAAGGACTTGTTTAAACATTAAACGTTAAAACATTAAAAGCAACATTAATTAATTGTGATACTGTATGTAGGTTATCATATTCTAATGACATACTGACATATTATCATTATCGTATTCTGTATCAATATTTGCTAAGAAATTCTCCTCAAAGATAAATGATATGCATTGTGACAAAATAATTCATTCAATAGATAAAAAGACAAAGTTCACAAAGGACAGGTTCACAAAAAATGGAGGTATTTCACTTCAAGCTTGAATTCCTTGTCACAAAATTTCCTTAGAGATTAGGGGGCATTATTAATCTCTTTCATTTTATTGCATTTTTTAAAAAATCCAGACAGTCCTAAAAATACACATATTAATTATTTAAGATAAAATGTAACCACAATGTTCATTTCAGGTCCTAATTTCACCACATTAATAGATATAAAACAGCATTTTGACAATTAAAAAAAAAAAAACTTATCTAAAGCCTCCATTTGTAAGTAGTAGTATTCATCTTATCTGTCTGATATGATAAAATGTTCAGTAATCTAGCTGAGAAGAAAAATGTAACCGATCCTCACCCGGCACAGTAACCAAATTCAGTTCATGAGGTCAACGAGTACATTTGGCACAAAATGAGCCCTGTTTAGTTAGAAGACAGAGAGTGAGCGGGAGAGAAAGAAAGGGAAGGAGGGAGCAGTAGTACCTCCACACTGAGGTCAAAGTGGCAAACGTGTTGATAGAGTGACGGATGTTAACTACTCCATTCCCTAGACCTCGAAATCCTAATTTACGCTCCCTCCTAACCCTCAACCCTTACTTTAGGAGAAACAGGCTGGTTTTAGAGAGCTGATCACCATGGCAACAAGAATAGAATGGGCAAAATCTCATTCTGTAACTGCCGCCCTCACTCTGCACTGTGTCTTATTCACTCAAGACACCTTATGATTACATAATTTCACCGTTTCACCTACATATACCCTCCTACCTACAATCCTTTTTTGAGGTCCAGAATAAACCTCTTATTCTCACACTTTCTCTCTGATTGTGAGGAGTGCATGTTGACTTGAAGTTTAATTTCCTGTCATTAGGAAAAACCACAGGGAAAGAGCAACACAGCACAGCATCCGCTTCCATCCCTACCAGCTGTGCGTGTGCACGTGTTCACGTGCGGAATCCAAGATGCAATTCGCTCACATTTTAAGTGAGTGCATCCTATTTGCTTTAAACAGAGACAATCTGTTTGTCCAGAGGGCATGTTGGCGTTTCCTTGCACCCAGTCTGTGCACCTGGGAACAGCTTAAAAATTACACCACCTGCTATTGTAACCCTTGTAACATGCCTCGATGTTCCCTTGACAATGTGGCATCACACCACTCCATTATGCCCACCTTTAATCCCCCGACAGCCCACATAGTCAAAGTGCCAACCTACATGCCCCCGTACTCTAAAACAACACTGTTCTACTGACACCTGCAGCAACAAACTGTTTTTCTCAATGTCTGGCATCATGCCTACATCACCCACCACCATGTTATCATGCCTACAGCAGAGTGGCATGCCAGATTTCTCTCTCTCAAACAGGCACAGACCATCTTGGTTAGCTGCTGTGGTGTAGCTACTGCTGTGAAGTGCATTCTGAGAGTGTGTTTATGGAGAAGGATGTTTATGTACACACTTGAATGGCACTGATTTTAAGACAATTTCCTTGTTTTTGAAGTATTATATATGTGGGATTAATTATGATAAGACATTAATCTAGCATGAAAAATAGCTAGTGATGCATCTCATGTGTTTAACCTTCTCAACTGTCATACATTTCAAAATGATGTCATGAATTTGATCATGTACAAATACAAATAATTTTAACTTACATATAATATTTAGAAAACATTGTTAAAATAAATAATGCTTAGCACTATACTTGCATGATATTCCCCCCATTACAAAACATGTATTATTCCTTAAAAATTGTGTCACTCAATAAATATTATTATTTGATGAATTAATCAACTTCAAACATTGAAACCTGCTATTTATTGCAATAAATAAATAAATAAATAAAAATGATCAAACAAGTACTGACCTTCAATTTATTGGAAAAATATATATTTTTAGATAGACAAATACATTATTTATTTTACATATTTACATTAAATTTTTACATTACATATTATTTTACATATTTTATTTTCTAAATGGTGTGTTTTTATGTAATATTTATGTAATGTTTATTCTAACGTATATTGCTAAAATATTGGTGTTAAATTGTATTTAGACATATATTTAGTATTTTGAAAACTAAGAGAAAACAAAACTGGCCACTGTTCACATTGTCCTTCAGAAATCATTCTATTATGCTGATTTGCTGATTATCAATATTTAAAACAGTTGAGTACATTTTTTTCAGGATTCTTTGATGAATAGAAAGATACAAAGATCAGCATTTATCTGAAATAAAAAGCTTTTGTAACATTATACACTATACCATTCAAAAGCTTGGAGTAAGTATAAATTTTTTATTTTTTTTTTGGGAGTCAGTATAATTTTTTTTGGGGGGGGGGGTTATAGAAATTAATACTTTTATTTAGCAAGGATGCTTGAAATTGATCAAAAGACATTTATAATGTTACAAAAGATTTCTATTTCAGATCAATGTTGTTCAACATAATAATAAAGGATTTTTGAGAAGTAAATCAGAATATTATAATGAGTTCTGAAGGATCATGTGACTGGAGTAATGATGATAAAAATTGAGCTGTGAAATCACAGAAATAAATTACATTTGAAAATATTTCCAAATAGAAAACAGTTATTTTAAATAGTAAAAATATTTCAAAATGTTACTGTTTTTGCTGTAACTTTTCACTGGTATGTTAGCCTATAGTTTGAAGTTAAAGATATTAATAATTAATAAGGTGAGTCTGAGATGTTTATTTATGTTTAATTATAATTATATTATAATTATCATTATAAATTATAAATTATGAATTAATTATTTGACAGTGATTTCACATTTCTTGTTTGTATGAAGGCTAAATACAAATAAAAGTTGAACATTAATTTATTTGTGCTTTTTTTTCTAAAAAATTAAATAGTTCTATAGGAAGAGGTTTCATAGACTTGGCAAATACATTTTTTATAAGTTTGTAGGTACAGACATTTGTTGTGGGTGTTCTTGGCAGTATTTATGAGGCTTTTTTAAATAGTGTTCATATCGATATCGGAATTATATCGTATCGACTGAAATTAAGAAATATATCGTGATATAAATTTCGGCCATATCGTCCAGCCCTACAGTAAAGCCACACTGATTTGCCCATTTAGTCTGTCACTACAGGTTCAACAGTAAAGGGCGGAGCAGCTCTTTCAACAATTGCCCTTCCTGTCGCAAGGGACACAACGTGTCTGTCTGCGAGTGTTCGTGTGCGTAAGTACTAAAACAAGAGGCAAGACAGGACATCTGTCTATACTAACACTGATCCGATCTGACACCTGTAAACACATATGTGTGTGTGCGTGTCTACACTGTCTGGGTCTCAAAGGCACTGCAGCCTTTTCAACGGGTCAGGGACGAAAACAAAACTGCTGACAAAATGTTAGAATGAATAATTGAAGAACTCGTGGTACCTACGGAGAAGAGCGATGGAGGGAGAGCAGGTGAATTGACAATTTAAAATGGCATTTGATTCAAATGATCGCTTAGTAACAAATAAAACATAAGGCTACAGGAACAATGACAGATGTGACATATATGATATATTACAAATCAGATTCCAGGTCTCAGTGAGATTACATTTCATTTCAAATGTGTGTGTGGCACTCACAGTTCAATGGCTTTGTTCCACATGATGGTATATCCTGAGAGGGTAAAGGACTCCACATTCACAATGTGGATGTTTCCTCGTTCCGAGCCGATGTACAGCCATTTACTTTGGAAGGGCAGATGACAGAACGTTATCCTGCAAAAGAGGAATGTAGAGAGAGTAAATTTGTTATTATTTGAAATTCACAAAAGAACAGAACCGCTCCCATACTCAAAAACACTTTACCCAGAAAGGTCTCATATGTCTCCATTGAAAATGTAATATAATTTCTTATCTTAATTATCTTTCTCATCTGAATTTCTAAGAAAAATTCAAAATGATATATCTTTTATTGCATTCTCCAAAGTCATATTAGGTTCTTTTTGTCTGAGGTCATTAGAAAAATTGTTTACAAATTTGGATCAACGCTGAATCTTGATCCAGCAGCCTGTATTCTAAGGATTCTCACACATCATACTTTAAATTATATGGTTTGGCTGCTCAAAAGTTGCTGCAAGATGTAGCATATTGCTGCAAAATGAATATTTGAGCAACCTCATATAAGAGCACAATGGATTAGATACACTGGAACTCATGCCCTTGAAGGTTTCTTTTGGAATATCAAACCATTTCAGTTCTATAAAATAGTGGGAAGGTAATGTGAGGTAGAAAGATGGACTCTGCAGTCATGCATGCATGGACTTAACTGAAATAGGAATTTTGTATTAAAGGGGTAATTTACAGCCGGCAAGATGGGGTTTTAATAAGCAGAAACTGCATATATAGAGAAAAAGGTGGTGAAAAAAGGTAGGAAAATTTTGACACCCATAATGCAATGTGCTTGATCAGACTTTCTATGAACAGGGACTTTTGCTGACAAATAAATGGTGATATCTTTGTGCAGGTAACACAGAAAAACACATTGTTTATTTACTTTACTTCCAATACAAAGCTGGTTGAAAATCAGTTAATCTTATGATGGTCTCTTTTAGTCACTTGTAAAGTACTTTACAGCACATAGTTTTAATAGTGACTTTAAATTTCCCCCTTATTACATTTTTTTTTGAGACCCCAGTGATCTCTAGTGTCTCTTTTAGAGTTTCAAAAGAGATGTCACAACCTGTGCCCAGATTTACCAAGATACCAAAGTCTGCAATTATACTGTGATTTCAATAAAACATATTTCTCCATTTTTAGTTCAAGACAAATTTACTAGAGATTTATTCAAATTTTATAGACTCTATGTCAACAATTGAATCAAATGTTTACTTCTCCTAAGCAAAGTAGGAAACACATCTGAGGCGGTTCATAACATTTCTGACTCCCTCAAGTCCCCATAACTATAAAAGATCAACCTTTGAGAAATAGCATTTTTTCTGTGGAAACTACGGGTAAGATAAGCAACACCGAAAGCTAGCACATGTAATATTTAGCACATTCAGAGACAGGATATTGACAGTCACATGCTGCATCAATGAACCACGCAATTTTCTTCCAACCAAATATGTTTGAATGTAATTTACGTCATTCTTGAGTATAAAAATGCTTAGTTTAGCTTGAGCTGCAGTTCTTCTTGCTCAACTCAAATGTACTTTTCTGTAAGTCCCAGAGGGATGAAAGTGCAAGAAACTCAGCTACTGGAGTCAAAGACTGGGCTTCTGTTTAATCACCACTAAAACTAAAACTGAAATATTACTCAGTTTAAGGTCTATTTAAAGTATTAGTTTTCCCAAACTCACATGCATCTTGATGAACAAGTGCTTTTTTAGAAAAGGTGGAGCATATGGAATGATTTTATGAACAAAAGGCTTGTTTGTTTTGGTGCTGTGCAAACGGCTTGCCTCTCACCCCTTTCACACTCCTTTTTCCCTGCAACACAAGTGCACACACACACCTGCCCCCAACACTTCACACCAGCACCTTGCAGCATCATGAATATATTCATGAGTGGAAGAGTGTTGAGAGAAATACCATGCATCAAACTCAACACACTTCTTTCCTGTCTATCAGACAGAAGCGCATGGAGAAGACACTGAAAGATGACACAAGTTGGACTGCTGACTGCTCTCTATTTTTCTCCTCCTTGAGAAAGGGCAAAAAGAAAGAAAAATGTAAGAGAAAACATAAGAGGCTTTCAAAGAAAACACACATGCAATGTTATTTAAAATCTAAGAATGAAAAACTCCAAACACAAACAGCTTTCAGAAGGCACTCATAAACACATAGTTTAAATATAGCTATACCCTACAGCTCTACACTTGTATCACAATTTACCTCAAACTATTAATTTAAATTAATCATTTATATTTTTATATTATACAATTATGCATATCTTGATATTTATGTCTACATTATGTCATCATCTCAGGCAAGTCAACATTTTGTCAAAAGCACTATCCATTTCTTTAATTGCAAAATGTTTAAGTGGAAAAAAGTTACTTATTTAGGTCCTTTCTGGTACCTTTTCCATAATTAGCTAATGATCCTTCTTTAATTCATTCATTAATTAGCACAGGAAAAAATGTATCACATCTATCACTTCACTGTGAGTGTGCGTGTCATGTAACAGAGAATTTAACATGACATCTGCACATCTACTCCAGGATGACTAGGCAAGATTTATGTACCACATCAAAACACACATTTCACTCCATTCACTTGTATTGTTTTTATACTGAGCTAATGATATTTTGTATCCTCTAAAAAATCTGTATTTTTTATTTTTCATTAAGAAATTGCTGCTCCCTGCCACGTATGTAGTTTTTACTATAATGAACCTTTTGTAGCGTCTGGACCAATCAAACACACAATTTTTCATTTGATTTAACAAATCAGTTATTCATTAAATTAACAAATCGTCACAGTCCCCTCACCCAATAAACTGGGTGCCATGACTTTTCCATTCACCAAGATTCTCTGACTCAAACTGGTTCTTTTTCATCAACCAACTTCAGCAAAGATCAACTTGAACCTTCAGATTGCATCAAACCTCTCTTTCAGACAGACGAGACGTGCAAGTATCAACTTAGTCTTATCATATGTCGGCGAAACCTGAGCCATACAGGTTTTCTCCCACCTTTTTTCTTTTTGTTTAGAAGAACCAGACACAATCACATTCACAAATATCAACAGCCCTCCACGTGTGAGAGTGAGGTGTGCATTTGTTCAGATGGCTTTTCTGTGACTGTGTGATAATGAGCTAAATGAGTGTATTAGCATGACAGACGGATGCCCTGCACTCCTGACATTTGGCTTGCTCTTTACTGAGCCTTCGTCCTGCAGGGACACACACACATACAAGCAAAGAGCAAATCCATTCAGGAACAGCCTTAAAAACCTGCCAACCTCCCTGATCATTCGTTATGTTACAGCACCAGGATGGCATCTATAAAACATTGTGTCTGTAGGTCATAACGGCTTCAAAAACGTAAACGTTGCCTTTAATTGGCATCATATGGGAAAATTCATTTTACAGCTCTGAATGATTGAGACACCGGGCTCACTGAACAAATACAAGAAGATTCATAATCAACGACAATGTGTTGCTTCAGGCAAGCCAACCATATAAAACACACAACTGACCAGCTGCACATGTACAACATGGAGGAAAGAATCTGCTTTGAATGAGCTCTAATTCATTTCCTCCTGTAAACGTTTGTAAGAACAAATGTGCAGCGTTTAAATCAGTTGAATTTTTGTTTTTCTTATGCGTCAGAGTGGCTTGAGTGCAGCAAAAGCATTTGAAGTCAACACAGTCTAATATCTTTTTCCTCCAAAATGCTTTAATTTGCAACCTAGAGAGCATTTTCAGGGAGCACTTTTAACGTCTATGCCAGGAAAGAGCATTTTTTAACAGGCTGTTCCTCTCTCATCCCTCTCTGGTTGTTGTAACATCTTCCGACAGCTTCCTGTCAGAACGTCAGCTTCTGTGATGCCCACGGTGTCCTGACAGGAGGTCCAACTATGCTCCTCCCAAAAATATACTTTCCAAAAGAAGCATCCTTCAACATCACAGCCCACAAGCCTTTTGTGGGCCGATTCTTGTTCTTGATCCGTAAAGTTGCAAAGACTAAAGTAACCAACCCAAAGAGATATTCTTTATAAAAGTTAAGACTCGTCCACGCCCTCTTAAACGCCTCATTTAAACATGCCCCCACATGTCTACGTCACTGTGTTGGAAGATTTACATAACACCACCCAAATGTTTACGCAAAGAAAGAAGGTGTAACTTTTATTCTCGCTGTAGTATTGTTGCCGTTGCTGCTGCCGCCATGTCATGGAAACACTGTGTGTTTCCAAAATATGGTAAGGGGCATAACATTTACGTCACACGTTTGAGGTATTCGGCCAATCACAACGCACTTGACAGCCGGCCAATCAGAGCACACCTCACTTTTCGGAACGATGAGCTTTGTAAAAATCGACGTATTTCAGTAAGGCGGGGCAGAGAGGAGCAACAATAATGTACGGTATGTGGAAAATAATGTTTTTTGAACGTTAAACTGCGTAAACACATTGCATTACACCAAATACACAAATTAATGTTATTTTTAGCATTGTCATATGACCCCTTTAAGAGTGATGTAAACTCTTTCCCCGCCAAACACGGAATTTTCCGTTATTCATGAGACAACGCTTCCCTGCCAAAGACGGAATTTTCTGGGTTTCCGTGTTTTCACTGTAATACACTATATGTTATACGCACTGTTATACGTTAAATAAATAAACAAATATGCTAGGGGGTGCTATTACACATCTCCTGAATGAGTCTAGATAAGTGACGATCAAAAACACAGACCAGGAAGACGCAGAAACGAGCGATATCTTATGTAAGCATATGCATATAAAAAAATAATGCAATCATCAACACTAACCGCATATAAATGAAAACTGCTATAAATGTTACAGAGTGAAATGTCAGTCCAGAAAGTGGTAAAGGCCTGTGCAAGCTTTAGGAGTACTGATGGAAGCCATCTACTGCATCTTTACTTGGATAATATTACTGAATATGATCCAGATGTAGTATTTGATAAAAATGCGACTATCTCAGCTTTTTGCTCAAAATTTAGCTTTTTTATGAAACCTACCTACATTCAAGTGTTGATAAAAACAATGCTTGAAGCAAGAATAAAACAGATTTTTTTTGTTTGAAAGTAGAGAGTCTGATCTTTATTTTGATGTTTTGCATGTTCAAATATTCATACAACAAAATATTCTGGGGGCCATGAAATTTTTGTGAAAATCAACTTTTCTAACTTTTTTTGGCAACTTCTTTCAAAAACGCTGGCGGGGAAAGAATTAATAGAAAAGTAGTAAATTTCAAAATTTACCGAACAAGTTCTGTCATTCAGAATTTCCTTTCAGAACAAGTTACTTTTTACATTTTATTTAAATTTTTTCAAATACATAATAATATTAATATAATTACATAAAATTATATAAATAATTCTAAATTATATAAATCATATAATATAAAATAAAATTATATAAAATGACATAAAATTATAGAAAATAATTCTACATATATAAAATAATATCGCTCAGAAATGCAAGTAAAATGTGTTCTCAATGCCAATTCATGTTAACTTTACAGCTCATCACAGAGACATTTTGTTTGCAATTGGGGGCACAGCCGCCCTATTGCAGCCTCAGGGGTGAGGCAGGTAGCAAAGGGAAACACTTTCTAAATGGCAGGCACACAGACACATCAGTCCTATACCTATGACCCCTGCCTGTACTTTCTGAGGCAGATACACACGTGCAGAGACCCGCACACACAAACACACAGTTATGTGGTAAAAACTTGTTCGACCCTGAAAGCCGCTGTTGGCGAGTTGTCACTCTCATCAACAGAAGCAGTGCAGATTATAAGTGAAGGGCTGCCTCATCTCTTATCAGAGTCAACAGCTGTCCAAACTGAATCAGAAGGTTACAACCTTCCTGCACTGATCTATAGCTATGAGTGTGATTAAAGGTCTCACACATTCTTCAATTCTTGCCACAGAGATACAACGCTGATTGAAGTGTCCTTAGTATGAACACATGTCACCGTTGAGGATACTGTTTCAAATAAGTAACTTTTTTGCTTTTAAAGGAGACATATAACGGAGAACTGGATGAAATAAAACAGCGTGATATGCAATGTAAATGTACTCTGTCTTTCACAACTCGCCTTCTAATCTACTAAACTATAAAAAAATACTGTACGTCATCAGGAAATCTGCCTGTTTTTAACACTGTGTATAACCAAGCACAATGCAATAAGCTTTACCACATTTGATGGTCATTAAAAGGGATAGTTCACCCCCCAAAAAATATTTGGAACATAAAAGTCAACATTTAACATGTTCCACAGAAGACAAAGTCATACAGGTTTGGAACGACATTAGGGTGAATAAATGACAGAATTTTCTGTTTTGGGTGAACTATTAATAAATTAAATTATGACTAATAGTGCAGGAAACCTTGATTTGATGTAAAAACTGAATAAATAAATAAACTGCTTCTAAAAAAGTAAAATAGGGCTTCTGTCTGCATTAGTTAAAATTTTCTCTTTTACCACTACTGTTTGCAAACATGACTGCACATGTTGACTCGCCTCCCTGTGCAACCAACAGAGAATGACTGTTGTGTTCTGGACTGCACCTGGGTACCAACAGTGAGAGAGCAAGTGGAAGTCAACTGGAATAATAAGGGAGTGAAAGAGAGAAACAGAGGTATCAGATGTGAGTGTGGGCCCACAGAAAAACCAACATCAGCTCTGCCACACACACGCGTGCGGTCATGTATCGCTAACACTGATCAGCTGTCTACATGCACACACACGCTCAGAGCAAGTGTAGATTAAATGACCGTGGCTGACCTCTCCTTGTTGAACTTGAGTGAGTGCAGCACAGCTGGTCTCTTCTGTCGCAGGTTCCACAAGTGAATACTATCATCAGCCAAAGCACTAACCAGCGCCCCCTACGAGACAGAACAAAGAAAGACATACCATTTATACAACCATTGGAATAAAGCCTTATGAAACACAACCATTTTTAAGTTGGGGGTCTGTAAGTTTTAATTGATTGAAAGTGACAGTAAAGGCATTTATAATGTTACAAATAAATAAACACAAATAAATTCAAATAAACTCTGGTTCTTTTCATACAAAGTATCCTGAAAAAACAAAAATATTTAACAGAACAACTGTTTTCCACATTGATAATAATAATAATAAGACTAAATGTTTCTTGAGCAACAAATCAGCATATTAGAAGTTTATTTTAAGGATCATGTGACACTGAAGACTGGAGTAATAAATTACATTTAAAAAAAATATTAAAATAAAAAATGGTTCTTTTTAAATTGTAATAGTATTTCACAATATTACTGCATTTATTGCATTTTTAATCAAGTAAATGCAGCCTTGGTAAGCATGAGACACTTTCAAAAACATTAAAAAATCTTATACATCTCAAACTTTTGTACAGTATGTTTACATTATCAAAACCAAGACACAATGTCAAATTACATACATCTCTATTTTTCAAACTTTTTTACATTGCTTAAAAAATGTGGTTATTATTGCACTGGCAGGGTAATAAGCCAAACACAATAATGTGGAGGCACTGCTTCCATTACCCTCCTCACATACTGGAACTGAATTTTAATGAAAACACAATAAATTTTGTCCCTCTGAAACTTTATTTACTTGATGTTGCTGTTTGACAGTTTTACTTAAAAACAACAAATTCTATGTGTGTGTATTTAACATCATTCTATCTCATATTACATATATATTACTTTGTTACACTTTTGTACAGTTGATTATCATTCAGATTTTTGTTGGAGGCACTGCCTCTCCTACCTGCTTGGAAAAAAAGCCCCTGACATATACCATACACTGGTAGAGATAACCTATTCATTCTGCAACATTTCTGGAGGGCTGGAAGATTCGAGATACAGTGGTGGGTGGTGAATGTATGTGTGTGAGAGAGAGACAGAACTGAGTGGAAAAATAAATCGAAAGAGAGACAGTGTGGGTGGGACAGACAGAAGGGATGGAGGAGGGATGCTACCACAAAATATCTCCTTTTCATCTGGCATACTCAGACCAAATACACACAGACGCTGCCTTTCCTCTGGTTATAGAGGCTGAATATAAAACAGACAAGAGTCTGTGCTTTGTCCCAGGTGTGTGTGTCTGTCTGTCTGTCTGTCTGTCTGTCTCTGCTTGGTCTGTTGAGCCCCAAACAAACACATACACACTGAGACTGAAAGTGCATACACACAAACATGCACTAATGAATGTGCGAAGGAACTCAAAATAACATACTAGCTAAAAATAAAAGCTTATGAAGCCCAGCCATCTCTCACCTAAAAGAGGACTATCATACAGCAAAAACAGTATTTTTGAAGGGTTAGTTCACCCAAAAATGAAAATTAGCTTGTGTTTTACTTACCCTCGAAGCATCCTAGGTGTATATGACTTTCTTCTTTCAGACGAATCCAGTCGGAGTTATATTAAAAATTGTCCTGGCTATTCCAAGCTCTATCATTGCAGTCAGCGGGTGTTGCAGTTGAACAGTCCACAAGTCGTCAAATAAAGCTCGCGCATTCATAATAAAACGTGCCACAGATGGCTCCGGGGGATGAATAAAGGCCCCCTGTAGCAAATCCATGAGTTTTTGTAAGAAAAATATCCATATTTCAAACGTAATAAACACTTTTCTCTCACTTCCGTTATCTGTCATACGCAAATCCGTTCCGGCGGAAGGCGTATGACGTATGCGCAGCGTGCGCTCCTCTGAGATATGCTAGTCTCGCGAGTTTGTTTAATAGGAGCAAAGGAAGCAAAGTTTCCTTACTTTAGCAAAGGAAAACCAGTCTCCTCTTGGTTTATATCGAAATCCTCCAACTTCTTTGCAAGCAAATCCTCGGTTTGTACTTCTAATTCGTGACCAGCGTTTTGTTTTGTT